AGGACTCTCTTTAGTCTGTTACAGAGGGCTTTCTATGCCCTTTTGCTGTCTCCTGTGTGGTCCTGTTGTGCTAGTTGTCTAGCCCTCTTTACCTTATTAAGTATTGTGGCTGCTTTAGGTAACTAATTAGGCCTTACTCTGTTGCGGGTCTTCTTTATAGGGCAGTTTTTAGTTAGTGCCTCCTTAACTTGTTTAATAAGGCCTATAATAGCCTCTCCTCCTATTGCCTAGGTCTAGTTGCCTTAGTTTATAGTATCTTTAATCCTGTCCTAGTTAGCCTTTACAAGGGTAAACTACTTATTTTCCTTCCTACCTATAGGGCTTGTGTCTATCTAGATCTTAAATAGGACATAGTCCCTTATAACAGCCTAGTCCTCTCTTAGTTAGTAGGTTGTGACTCTGTCTACTACAACCCTTATAGCAAACCCTAGGTCTATAGCTAATTAGAGGGGTCCTCTTCTCTAGGTTAGTACCCCTAATTTATTTAGGAGCTAGAACCCCTAACTAGCTATGTTAGCAAAGAGCTGTTCTGCCTGTGGTTCTCCTAGTGTATTCCTCCCTAACTATTCTAGGTAGTGGGCGTTAAAGTCTCTAATAATTAGAGTTGCAGCGTTAGGCGGAGTGTCCTGGATAGCGTTTGTAATTGCTAGCTATAATTTAATAGTGTGTGTAGCTTCCTAGCCTAGTATTATAGGCAGGCTATAAATATTAATAATGTAGGTCTACTAGCCTTGTGTGTAGACTTAGATTCCCTTAGTAAGGTTAGTAGCTAACATGCTCTTAACTTTAGTAAGTAGTATTTAGTTGTATATAAGGAATACTACCTTTATCCCCTAGTATAGGGGGTAGCTTAGTTGGCAGTTCTTAGGGCAGTATGTGTGCCTACCTGTTAAGCTTCTAAGTATAGGTTCCTAGATTGCAATGACTAGGAACAACACTAGGATAACTAAGTCTAGGAGTGGCCTTGCTGCTCTTCTATTTGCATTTCTGTAGTTATATTGGAGAATACCTATTCCTCTTATTAGGTAGATTAAACAACTTCCTCAGCTAGTGTGTTGTTATCTCTAGTTTCTCAACAGAATATGAATATCCGCTGTTGCCCTAGGGCGCTAGCAGCCCTGCTTATGTGGGTGGGGCGACTAACTGCTGCTCTCCTCTTGTTTCCCCTAGCGACTAGAACAGTTGTCCATTCTGCTTTATCTCCTCTTGCTAAGCTAGCTCTACTAGCCATTGTAGAGCTGCTAAGGCTAATAGTTAGTCCTAAGAACCCTTGTCCCTAGTTAGACTAGATCTAGAGTGTCTACTACTATAGCCTCTATTTAGTCTCTTTATTTATAGTCTAAAATATTTAGTAGGCCCTGCATTAGCGTGACATCTAGGCCTTGTGTCCCTTCTACTTGCAACACGCACAGCTAGCTTTCGCCTTATTAGTGCTCTTGCAGCTCCTAGTGGCATGGTCTCTAGCGCAGTGCCTGCACGCCTCCTTAGTGGCGTTGCAGATAGACTAGGTGTGGCCCTATTTCCAGCACTTGAAGCACTGTCTATCTGTGAGGGAGATGTCCTAGAGCTAGGCTAGGTGCCACTTAGCCCCCATCAGAAAGCTGGACTTGACTAGCTTCCTCTAGTTCTCTTCTGTCCCAACGTTCATAAGCAGGGATCCCTTTATCTGCTTGCCCCTATCCTGTCTAGATTTTAGGTTCTTATTAGAGTAGAGCCACGCTACCCTTTTAATCCTAATACCTAGGTTACAGGTGTAGGCTTAGGCAATCTACTCTTAATTCTCTACACATTTTAAGTTCTTAATAGGCGTATTAAGCAGGATACTAGAGACTCTAACTAGGTGTAGCTTCCTAATTAGTTTTATACCCTTAGCACCTAGTAGGCTAGATTAGATAATTAAGTTATAATAGGTAGTGTCCCTAACTACTACTAACACCTTATATATAGACCTTAGATAGGTTATAATTACGCATGTGTTAGGTATTACTACCTAGATATGCTCTAGCTAACCTTAGGTAGTCTCTCCCTTAGTTCCCTCTATCTCTTCTAATCTTAGCTTAACCCTTGCAGGTTGGCTAACTCCCTTGGCTGCCACCTGGCTCTAGGTGCGTTGCCCTCCTTGTCCCTCCTTCTCCTGTATCCTAACCTGGGTGCCCTCTATCTTCTTTTCTATAGCATTAAGCTTCTAGAGCACTGCTTGTAGTGCTCCTAGCCTGCCCTGCGCTGTTGTTGTTAGTAGTAGGGTTCTTAGCCTAGTAGTGAAATTTTTTTCTACCTAGCTAAGAGCTGCTAGGAGGTTGCAGGCAACCTGCGTTGCGTCCTAGACAGTAGTAACTGTGTTACGTCCTTCTACTCCCTTCCTCTATTGTTCTGTTAGTACTCTTAAGATCTCCTTCACTATCCTTCCCTGCATCTCCTTTCTCTAGTTAGGGTGGTCACCTTCCTCCATTCCTTTGTTAGGTCTGTTGCTAGCCAGGCGCGCTGGTACCGCGTCTGGCTGGCCGCCCCCATCTCCTTCACGCTGCACTCCCTGCATTGCTGCCATCGCGGTGCTGTTAGGTGCGGCTCGACTCGCTGATTCTAATAGTATTATTCTTAGTATTATTTAACAAGTTTCTTAGATTTTAATAGAATGGTGTTCTTTATCTAAATATTATATTATCACGTTGTTGAGATATACGCTTGTAGAGGTGTGTAAAGTTGGTGGGGTGCGCGACTCGCTTGCCTGCGCGACTCGCTTGCCAGGCACGTTATCAGCAGGTCAAAACAGGTGTTTAGCAAGAGGAAATCTGACAAAGGAGAGTTTAGATCATCCCTCTAGGATAGCAATCGCACCTAGGTAACAGTAATAGCTTGTGTGTGTGCTGATGGAGTAGTGCTGCCGCCTAGAGTCATCTACGCCGCTGCTGGAAAAGATGTCCAATCTGTAAAGAAAGTAGGGGAAGGACTAGACTACGTTCTTCCTAGTCTTGAAGGACCTAGACAAATCTAGACTAGCTTTGTCTAAATAGGAAGCGTATAGCCTAATAGAGGTAAGGTAGGGTTATGTAATATAATAGATAAGTTATTATATTAGATACTAGGGAAAGATTCCTAGGCTAGGTACAGAGCAAACAGAGGGGGGAGAGCTAGAGGTATTTATGCTTATTCTCCTCTGTCTGTATTTCTAAGCAGAATGTTCTAGACTCCTCTAGGTAGGTCTACTTAGTAATCTATGCTTAGTATTGCTGCATATATAAGCAAGATTATATAGGTGCATGCGTAATTATATACGTTAGCATCTTATAGAGGAGGCTACTCTATTTGTAAGCAGAGGGTCTAGAATATTTCTAGCTACTAAAAATAGAGAACAGCATATCTTAAGAACAAGAGGAGATACAGGCTTTGTAAGCACACCATTCTAATCCTCTCTTTTAGGAGATTATAATAACAATGCTTAGGGAAGCATAGCGCTATACCTAAGAAGGAAATATGCTAGAGAAAGATTATAAAAACAAAGTCTTATAACTTTACATTTAGCAACAAGGTTGTTAACCTAGGTTAATTAAATCCTAGAGGTGCCCTAGTAGATGAGAGTGGGCAGTAATGCCTATCAAGAAGCGCATACGCAAGCTAGCAGCGTTACCTATTCTCTGTTGCTATCTCTAAGCGCTGTAGTGCACTCTTTTAACTCCTAAATTGCCTTAGAGACTATCCTTTTAGTGCGACTATTAATGCTAACAAAGAAGACTTCCTTATCTATATTGTACGTGTTGCGCTTATTAACAACACTATGCTCACGCATCTTAGAGTGCAATAGATTGAGGTACAGCTTATACTAGCGCTTGCTGTCAGCTAAAAAGCGCTCACAATCCATCCTAGTGGTCTATTAAGTGGTAAGCTTGTTAGCGTAGTGATGCAGAAACTAAGTTATCTAGCTCTTAGAGACCTCCTATTTTGTAACCACATAGGCGAAATTTTGCAGCATGCTTCTAGTAGGTAGTAAGCTGTCTCTTGTGCATCTTTCTAAGTATTTAACAAGTATCTCCTCCTATTATAAGCTAGGTAACTATTCCTAGCGCGCTTCTTTTGCATTTAAGCATGTATAATAGTTATGCTGCTGCAACAGTGTTGTTTAGTTAACGTACCTCACGGGCTCGTGGATCACCCGGGCTCGTGGATCACTTTTGCCAAGCCCCCACCAAACTCTACCTTCCTACGTGATGCCTCAACAACAACGCTAGATAGAACCTTCTAATAAACGTTAGATACAGACTGCCCTTCAGGCTCTTAAACAAGACGCGACACTCTCTCAGCAACGCGCTGCAGCTATCTACAACGTTGCTTAATTAACACTAAGCTGCTGACGCGCAGGACAGACTCTATAAGCAGATTACTGGCCCAAATCAAAGAATCTGACTAAGATTAAGGAGGACGTAGTTGTTGAGCATATACTTGAGCTAGTCACCCGAGGATTTCCCCCCAGGCTTGCAGCTGTGGCTGATATGGCCAATTCTTTGCGCGCAGAGCGCAATATGGGCCAAGTTGGCTTAAACTGGCCCAGTACGTTTGTCAAAGGCCGCCCTGAGCTCATAATAAAGTTTAATTGCAAATACAACTACAAGAGAGCCCTCTGCGAGGATCCTAAGATTATACAAGGCTAGTTTAGCCTAGCAGCTAACATTAAAGCTAAGTATAGCATCCTAGATAAAGATACATTTAACTTTAACAAGGCTGGCTTTATAATAGGCTAGATATCTACTAGTTTAGTTGTTATAGCTTTAGAGAGACGAGGACAGCTAAAGGCAGTGTAGCAAGGCAATAGAGAGTAGACAACAGTCATCTAGGGAATTAACGCAACAGGGTGGGCCATTCTACCCTTTATTATCTTCAAGGGCCGCCATCACCTCTCTGCCTAGTATAAGGAGGGGGATCTACCTCACAATTAGGTTATCGCAGTATCTGAGAACAGCTAGACAACAAATGAGCTTAGCCTGCAGTGGTTAAAGCACTTTAATAAGCATACAAAGAAGAGAGTAGTTAGCAGCCACTAACTACTCGCAATTGACGGCTATAAGAGCTATAACTCGCTTGCTTTCCAGGAATACTGCAAGGAGAACAAGATTATCACTATCTGCATGCCTCCACACTCATCACACCTCCTGCAGCCTCTTGATATGGGGTGTTTCTCGCCTTTGAAGACAGCGTATGGCCGCTAAGCTGAGAATCTCATGCGCAACTAGATTACCTACATCACAAAGCTTAAGTTCTTACCATGCTTTATACGCGCCTATAATACAGCAATTACTCCTAGTAATATCTAAGGAGGGTTTTAAGGCGCTAGATTAGTCCTATTTAACCTAGAATAGGTTATAATAGCGCTTAATGTCTAGCTATGTACTCTATCACTACTACTCCCTAGCAATAAGCCCTAGCAGTTGCAAACCCTAAGCAATACCCTTGAATTAGGATTGCAATTAACGCTTGTGAAGGCAAGGATTTAGAGGCATGTAGATAGCTCACCAACGTCTATAGTAGAGGCTTTTAAGAAGGTCTTAAAGGGAGCAGTAATTATCGCGCACAAGCTAGTGTTGGCGCAAAAGGAGATTACAGAGCTTTAAGCGGCAAATAAGGCTGCTACGCGACGTAGATCGCATAAAAGAAAGCAGGTTTAAGCAGAGGGGACCTTAACAGTTAAGGATAGGGCTTGTTTAGCTGCTCTTAAGGACTTTGGGGCGTGTAGTGATAGGAAGAAGCCAAAGAGGCAGGTGCGTGCTAAAGTAGGTGAACTATCTCAACAACAGTGTACACAGTGCAAAGAGACTGGGCATAATGCGCGTACCTGCCAGAAGGTAGTAGAAGTAGACTCTGAATGATATCGCATCTTGCTTTGTACTATACAGGGCCAAAGTGGGCTATTTTGCGCCAGAATGGGGTGGTTTTGGTGGGGGCTTGGCAAAAGTGATCCACGAGCCCGGGTGATCCACGAGCCCGTGAGGTACGTTAACTCTAAATATTTTTATAATTTAGCAGTATAACTTGTTATCTCTAGCTTTTTGTAATTCTAAATATTTAATTGCCTTTTAAATTAGATCTATAGTGGTGGAGGTGTGACGTGTTAAAGTTGTGGGTATCTCAATGTTGTGATGTTCTGGGTGGCTCATCGGCTGAACTGGCTCATCGGCTGAACTGGCTCATCGGCTGAACTGGCTCATCGGCCGCACGGCCACGGTAATGCGCGGATTCGCGTAATGCGCCGAACCACCAAAACACGCACCTGCAGAATTGAGGTTGTAGAGTCACATAGAATAGCTGTTATCACAAGATTTTGTAGTAGATAAATCTATACAGATGTGCAATTATGCTAGCTACCTAAACTTCTTGCGTGGAGCAATTCTGCGGCCACAGGAGTTGTATACAGGTAGTAGTGATAGGGAGGACGTCGCATTAAGAGTATAACTACTACTACCTCTACTACTATGCTTTTTTGTTATTTTTAGCTGCAATTAACGTGAGGCCTGTTGCTTAGTCTAATTAGGCAATTAGGTACTTGTTTAGCGTTTTTATTGTGTTTTTGAGCCTCTCTGGCAGCCTTGTGTTTTGCTACTTCTTTAGCCTCCTTAGCACGCTCTTAGTCACCCTCTTTCTTCTCTCTTGCGTACTTCTTGTGCTTCTCCTGAGCAATATCCTTGTTATATGCCTTATTAGCACTCCTTGTCTTAGCTCTCTTATTCTTTTAGAGTTCTTCTGCCTCCTAGTTTTGTTATTTTGCCCTCCTAAGTGAGCGTGCTCTCTCTACTCTGCTTAGAGAGTAGAGTTCTGCTCTACTATAATAAGACTCTAATGGCAGAACTTTCCTCTTATTCTTAGGCTTCTTCTAAGTCTTAAGAACCTCTTTTCGGCCTCTAACCTTGTAGTAGAGGAGAGAATTCTAGATTAAGATATAACGTTAGTAGAGTAATTAGCTAATCTTTTTTAACTCCTTACTGCCATTATCCTTAGCTACCTTGCGTAACAGAGTCTTAATCTTAAGCCAGTCCTTGCTAGAGTAGAATGAAGAAGAGCTGCTGTTGCTATCAGAGGCCTCAGGGGTATCCTTTGCAAAGCGTTAGAGGATAACGTTAGGTTAAAGAGGCTAGTTGGTCAGTTAGTATTTATTTTACGTCTAGATAATAGGGATTAAGTCCACTATCTTGCCTCCTAAAGGGCATATACAACGTGCTAAGCTATAGGATTACAGTGCTAACTAGGCTGGCGGAATGGGTATACTCTAACGTCCTTCGTGGGTACCCCCCAAAACCTTATCAATAATACATGGATTCTAGC